CGTTTGTTAGACGGGGACTTGTTAATACCCGAGATCCGCTGGAGCTGGAGCTTTCTGACAGCTGACAGCCAGGTTCCATTTTCTTTTTTCTTTTTTTTTTTTTCTCTCTCCCTGCTAACTCTCCTTGGACCTCACAGAGCTCTCCTGAGTTCATTGTTAAGGTATTTGGACTTGTGTTACCCGGAGGTGTTTTGACATGTTGTAGGTGACATGTTTTTTTTTTTTGTTTGTTTGGTTTTGTTTTGTTTTTTTCCCCCCCAACAACAAGCTGTATTCTGTCAGAACCAGAAAAGAGTAAACCGAGCAAACGGGCCGGATGTTTTAGAAAGCTCTTGTTCTGGGGTTTTCTGCAGAATGGCCCCGGCTTATTCAGGGTCTGATTAAGGAAGCTAACCAATTCTATGAGGCTTATACAGTCTGTCATAGCGTTACTCCATTGCTTCAGATTGCATTGCCTTTGTAGAACCATATCAAGCAGACATTTATAGCGGGAGGACAGATTATTTCCATGGGAAAGCTTCAGGCAATATAACTGTTATATTGTTAGACCGCCGGTTTGTCGCCTTCTCTTCAGCTTTGTGCGGAGGACTAATGTTCTCGTTTGACACTGGCGGATTGCTTTTTCTCTGTGCCTGAAGAAAGAAGGCAGCCTAATATGTTTGGGTTGGTGAAGCGAAGGTCGTTGAGAATTACATTCGCCCCCTTACTCTCCTACCCCCTTTACTTTCTTCTTCTTTTTTTTTCCTCCTTAATTTCCCCACTGGATTGGCAAACCGTTTTCTCTATTAGCGCTGTGGTAGGCTGCTCACTGTGTGTCCACATGTGCGTGTTCCTATCTGTGTGTGTGTGTGTGTTGAGCCTTTGCCCACCAAGACCCAAAGAAAACTTGAAAGCTAAATAGCTGCATGGCTCAACTGAATTGTGTTGTCAAGAGGAAAATGGAACAGAAGTCATAAAACGTAGGCATCACCTCACATCCTGCTGAGAAGAGGAGTTTAAGTTTGACTTGAAAGGTCAGGGGGAAATAGAGCAGTGCAAAAGAAAAAAGAAAAAACACCTAAACTGTGATTGTGTCTGGGGCTTTTGCTAAGTGGGGCAAGACCACGAACTTGTTTTATGATCCTAGATTAAGGTTGTCACACACCCCAAAAGGCCCTGAACCACAGAAGCGAGTACCCACAGGTTCTTCGAGCGACGTTTAGCACAGCTGGCAACGGGAGAGATTTTTGACGGCATCGGACCGCCCAGCCGAGCGCTTCCCCCAATAAATGCCTTCCAGATGACGAGGGGCCCGGACGGGCCCGCGTTTAACCGAGCTGGGGGAGTGTGGATGCACCGGAGCGGAACCGCTGGGGTTCTGTTTGGCGCGCCGCTCATTTAGGCACAAATAGAGATATTTTGAAGAGATAAGTTCCTACCATTCACAGCAAGGACCCCCCTTTTTCTTCCCCAAATGGGTGCGTCTCTCTTCCATCTGCCTTCCATTCCCCCCCGCTGGGTCGCCTTAATGAGGGCCATCAGAGCTGATGATAGGCCGGAGTAAAAATGCAGTAAACAATTTCTCCTTCCTTGATTGGTGAAAAACAAAAAAGAAGAAGAGTGATGCTACTTATCTGCGAATGCCAACACACCGTTTCGCCCGACACAATATGCATTTTCGACACTCGGCAGAGCCTCCCCCAGCTGTACTAATGTGGCCTGCTCTTCCTCGTCTCTGTGATGCATCTCAGCATCAATTTTTCAAGGCGTCTCTCAAAGCTCGGCTTTTGGCAGTTGCAATGCGGGGAAGGGTGAGATAGCTGCAGAGACAGAGAATCTGAGGTGAATTATAAGTCTGCTGATAGACCAGAGGAAGGCTACGGGAAGATTAATGCTCTCTGCTGTGAGCCAAGAGACTCCCCCCCCCCAAAAAAAAATCTCATACCTACTACTTCTGCTCAATCATTTGTGGCTGGAAAAATGGGAAAAAACTAAAAAAAAAAAGCTCAAATAACTTCTATTCAAAGTAGACGGCCTGACATTACTCTTAACAGGAGCCCACCAGATGAGTGATTTCCTGAGTGTTTGATCACAGCACAGGGGAGAAACACACTGCAAACAACACGCAAAACCGCTGTTTTCTTTCACGGAGCCGTAGCTGATAAAGGGGGAGGCGGAACAAAGCGGAGCCTGTGGAAGCCGAGCTGGGCTGTTTCCACAGCTGGTGGCCTGACGAATTAGGAGGAAAAAGACCTGGACTGAAATCACAAAAATAATCACAGGAGAAACATGGAGACGCCAAAAAAAACAACACAAAAAAACAAAAAAAACAAGAGCAGGGCAGAGATTCCCCAAGAAACGCAGATAGATTTCTAATTAAAAAAAAATGAATGCGGAAGAGGAAACCCGGTCATATGGTTTCTGGAGTTATATATGAAGGGATTTCCCCAAAACGGCCTGAATGACCAGTACAATTATCAGAGTGGGGATTGTTTGTTTCTACAGTCTTATAGTCGCTGGCGGCGCTTTGCTTTTTAAACCTCTGAGTTTAAGCAGATCGTTTCTTAAAGGCACGGAGTCCACAGTTTAAGACTTAAGTATTGATTCGTTTTTTTAGTCCAACCAGCACTTTAAATGTTTTTTGATTGTCAAGTTTGACGTTTTGAACTTCCATTGGTTGAAGCAGTGGCATGCAATGCCACGCCGTGGTAGATGTTAATTGTTGTTGTTTTCATTGTGACTTGCTGTGCAGTTATTGTCCCATTGGAACACGTATGAAGATCCGAATCTCTAAAGGCTGCACACCACACTTTGAGATTTTTATTTGCGTTGGTCTATGACATAAACTCCCAATGAAATACATCCAATAAATTTTGTGTCTGGAAGCTGACAAAATGTTGGCTTATATTGCGGTGAATCTCAAATCGCTCGAGAACCGAGTCATCCCCTCTTGCTGCCTGAGCTTCTCATCCCGCCTTAATATTCATAACCCCCATCCTCATTTCCTCTAAATCCCTTCCCCCGGTAACTAGACTTCCATTTCGCAAATATTATTTTTCAAAATTTAACACAGGTGGCGGATGAAAAAAAATGAAAAAAATAAGGTGTCAAATCCTGCATGCTGATGCATGTCAAACCGCAAGTAAATGATTTCACCCGACAGCGCTGCCATTCAAAGTGTAAATCAAATTTTGGTGAGAGAAAAAAAAAAAAAACATGCATTAAGTGAGTTCAGAATCACTAAGGAGACCTGATGTTTTGACAGTAATTTGGGAATCAGGCAAAACTATGAAAATAGGCTCCTATTGCTTGGGGGCGCACATTTTCTGAGTAGACAGAAGGAGGTGTGTGTGTGTGACTGAACGTGACCACACGTTCACGCTTGTTATTCTCCCATACATCAAAATAAATTGTCAAAAATTGTCTTTGAATTGCAGCTTATTCATCTGCTCCCTGATGATGCCAGAGGTGACGGTCACGAACGTTTACGCTGGGAAGACGTTCAAATAAGTAGTCAGAAATTCACATTATGAGCCATTAGCCATTATGAACCTAAAACCTACCGAAAGAAGGGAAAAAAAAAAAAAGAAAGAGAGCTTTTGCTCCAAATGAAAACACAGAGTGGAAAAGTTGTCTCTACCTGTCCTTCAAACCCACGAGCGCACGCCGCCATAGGCAGGCACTGGAGTGAAAACCGCAACTCATAAGCGTTTATTGTCGACTTTTAACAAATGCCTGAGAGCGCACGCACACACCGACGTCTCCACAGGCTTTTCAGACCACACTGTTAGGCCAGACTTTCAGTGTTTCTCCTGTAGCAGCTCAGGTCTTTGCACGCCAGATTCCTCGGACACGTTTCTGTGCCGCGGCTCGTGTCCCTGTAAAGCTCGCCCCAAACTCCGCTCCGACTTAATTAAATATAATCCCGTTCCATAGACGGCAGTCTGAAAATCCGCTTGATTGAGATGCTGAAGTGTGTGGATTATAAATACCTGTAACATCTGCTCTTTCTAAATACAGAAAATGCAAGTAAGCTCCAGCTCTATATTATCCTGCATGTATTAGGAATGCTGTGAGGGTGATCCGGTGGTTAGACTGGATGTGAACAACTACTTAGCTTGAGTTTGGTACTTAAAGGGACAAAATCACCTGAGTTAAGCTTTACATTGTGTTATAATGTTATTCCCTCATCAAAAACATACCTGGTGTGTTGCCTTAAATCTTTCATGCGTGTTTGAGAAATCCTTTAATTTCCTGTGGCAAAAAAAGCCGACTGGGTGGACCTAGCTCCGCCTTAGAGGACAAAGCCCCACCTCAGCGCTTCAGTTTCCAAGCTGCTTCAGCTTCTGCCTCACAGAGCAGCTCCCCCACTCAGCTCCTTCAGACTAGCCAGCAGCAATTAGCAAACTCCTGGTAGAACTGCACATCCGCTGAACTCATGACAGGAGCTACGTCTCAGTGCAGCGCTGGTAAAAATGTTGTCGAAGGGTTAGTAGAGGAGAGATGTTAACATAACTTCCTGAAGGCAGGGTTTCAGAAAGAGCAGGAGTTTCTTAAAGAGACAAAGATCTAATTTCAAGGCATTAAATTAGATGTGTGTAGCATTGCTTTTAACACCTGAAGGTAAGGTAGAAACTTGATTGTGCTTTTAAATAGCACTGTGAACCTGCAAAAACTGTAGTTTGCTGAACTCTAACATCGGTGCTGATAGGAGCAGGAAACATTCTCACTGTTTGTGTCTAAATTGTAATGAACGCAAATCGCCTCCCCACCTGTTCTGTTAGCTTTTACCCGAAGCCTCATTAGCACAGTGTTGTATTTCCACTACATTACTCACACAATATGCTCTGCAGCATGGTGTTTCTGTTCCTCTGTGTATACGTCTAGGCACTGAACTTCCTCCCTAAATGCCTGGTGGAGGACTGAGAAGCACAGCTGTCCTAATGGAGCTCAGCTCCATGTTGGAGCATGTTAACCCCACTTGTGACCGACTCCGTCTCCGTTTGCTCCGCTCCTTACAGGTATGACTATGTGGAGGTGCGAGATGGTGTGGACGAGAACGGTCAGCTGGTGGGGAAGTACTGCGGGAAGATCGCCCCCTCAGCAGTCGTCTCCTCAGGAAACCAGCTGTTTATCAAGTTTGTTTCGGACTACGAGACGCACGGAGCCGGATTCTCCATCCGATATGAGATCTTTAAGACGGGTGAGTTGCAAACCACACTTTCACCTTCCTGAACTCCTTTGGGTATCTGCATTATATTTTTGAATAAAGTGATTCCCAATTTCAGTCCTTAAGGATCATAGTTTTGGAAGTTTTAGACGTCTCTCCAGCAGAGTTGATTGAAAACATTGAATTGGTGCAACCTCGTGTTTGGAGATGTTGGGGATGAAACCACTGTAGTAGATGTACTGCACCAGGAGAAGGCAAGGTTGTTGACAATATCCACATTAAAATTCAATCAAACAAGAATCTAAGCATGGATAAAGAAATGCTAGGCTAGAAATTTTACCAAACAAATTGTAGCTCCTGATTTCTTTGACTTCTTTAACATACATTTGAAGTCTAATGGAACAAAAAAGTGACTATTAGGATCTCAACAACTCTCCAGTGTTGTTGAGATGCTAGTTCTGAATTGGGCATGGATCAAGTTGGCCCCTACATCATGTTTTTAACAGTTTTTGGATGTCCAGTTCACATGGAAACACAATAAACTTAAAAGATTTTGGAAATGTTAAAAAAAAAAAAATGCTGTTTTTCTGTTTTCTTATTTGATTCCAAGTGTGAGCACAACAGAAAGTATTTGTTTTGCCAGATGTCCATGTCAACATGCACAGCTCTTTTGGTTCGTTACAATGGACAGATCAAAACTGCACTGTTGATCTCTTGGTATATAGTTCATAAAAATCCCAACATTAAACTCCAACATAACGACCCGACGTATAAAAAAAAAAATGTAGTGGAAACTGCTGCAGTAAATACTTTATTTCCACTTTTGTCGGTTTGCGATCTCACTGCAAGGCGCTGTGGTATCTTTTATAAGTTTAGAAGTTGGACTAGCGGTCCGAGTTACTGCCGAGTTAGAAAGCAGTTAAGTTGGGCGTGATGTCCAGCGCCAGATCCAGATCCCTGGGTTCTGAAGCAGGCGGACGCCAACGAGACCTTTGAAGCCGCCGACGCATCTGCTATCGTTTGATACGGTCTGGAAACTGGAGGAAGGTTCTTGATAACGGAGGGAGAACGAGACTCTGTCTAATTTCATGCTTTGTTTGTGCTTTAGTCAAGGCGTCAGAGCGCCACATTATGCAAATGCAATATGGCAGGCAATATGCTTCTTTCAAAACAAATGAATCATGGGCCCATATGTTTCATAATTGTAGCAGGCTTCTTTTTTTTTTTTCCTTTTCTGGTGTGAAATATTACACTATAAGCAAAGCTGTAATTTGCTGAGCAGTGATTGAACAAATGTTGTTAAAGTGTTTTGTTTTTTTCTTCTCGTCAGATGGTGGGCGACAGGGGGGCGGTTTGAAGTGAAGCCGGTTGAAGGAGAAAGTGAAACTCGTTCCTTTTTAAAGCGGGCGCCGCGTCAGGAAGTCCTTATCATGTCACCGTTCCCAATGTTTCATTAAGAGAAGAAAAAAGAAAAAAAATCAGGACTTGGCCTGTTGGCTCAAATGTTAGGTTACGTCTGTCTTATCAGAGCACAGCAGAATTGGAAGAAGAATTTCCTGCTGATAGGCGGCCGTCCTTTGTTTGGACTGGCAGGAGATGAAGGATGAGGAGAGCTTTTCCAGAGTGACTAATAAGCAGACAGGTGGTGTAGGCTTCACTTTCATTAATTAACCTTAGCAGCAGTCTATGGGGGGAAAGACCCCACCCCCCACTCACCCCGTGACCTCAGAGACTTGGTGAATAGCCCGGCGAGGTCCCTCCATCGTATTAATCCGTGTGTTTGAGTGGCTGGATTTGTTGCTCGTCGTCGCCACGGCGGCAGGGCAGCTGGCGGAGTGCGGGCCCATTTAGGAGATCAAAGCGGCTCTCCGCCCAGACATACGCAAACTCATCTGCACGCGCTGCGCCCGTCCGACTCCCCCAAACCTCCAGATAGGCCGGCTAAATCGCTGCATTCTTTTCGCGATTAGCTCGGCATTCCCCGGTCTTCCTTATTAGCGGTGGCTGATTAGAAATGAGCCGTGTTGGGGCGGGAGTCCTTTGACGAGGCAGAACATGCTCTCGAGCAGTTTGGATGAGAAAATAACAGATCTAGCTGAAAATAGGCTGCAACAAAGACCAGGGTATAAATAGTTGGAGCTCGAAGACAAGCTGTGCCTTTTTCGCTGATTGAACCCGAAGTGGAGTCAGGAGTTCGGGGAGGATAGGCGGGGTGAGGGGGCGAGGGAGGGAGGGAGACGCAGGCAGAAAGCTTTTCATCTGGCTCTTTGGCACCCAGCACTCTCCGACCCCCTGCGGAGAGGAGAACCACGGGTGTGCCGTTGCTTCCTTAGTGGATCCAGACCGTCGTCGTGCTTTGAATTTGCTCCGTGTTTTGACTACGGCGGTGCTGGCTCTCCAGCCAAAAAAGAAGGGGCTCTGAGATCAATTAGCAGCTCTGTTTGTTGGAGTCAGAGAGAGAGAGAGAGAAAACCAGAGAGAACCAAGCAGAACGAGAGATACAAAGTTAGCTGATTAGCACGGCTTATCAACAAACACAGGGTATTAGCTGGGAAAAAAAACAAAAAAAAAACATTGTGTTGGCTAACACATGTAACGTTAATGATGAGACACAGATGCTCCGATAACAGATAGAGGAACGGGAGGCTTGCACTTGTGCATGTCAATGAAGGAAAACACAGGGAACGCCGGCTGTTTATCGCCGTGATTATAGTCCCGAAGAGTTAAACTCCAGCAAAAGGTCACATGGAAGATAAATAAACCCGCAAAGCAAACATATGTAAACACACACCTCCTTTGGGATCATGTGCCAGCTTATACAAGTATGTTTACATGGGCACGCTGACCCCACCAAAGCCATAAACTAAATACACTCTCTCCCTCTCCGTCCCACACACACTCCTGAAAATGCTTGGCGCTCACCACCCTGGCTTTTATCAGCTGCGGCCCACAAAGTGTTTAATTGGAAGGGAACAGGTTGTTTTGTGGCTCCCTTTGGCTGCTTCCACATCACTGTCTCTACCCCTCTCCACTCCTCCGTCCCATCCAGCCATCTTAATTAGCACGGGCTATTTGTTTTATAGCCTGCAAATTGGCAGCGACGCTTCACTGGCGAAAGAGTGGCAAGGGTAGAGGAGGAGGGGAGGGAATGAGATGGCATGCAGGAGTTTTTGAGCTGAAAGAATTTGCCTTGTTTTTTTGAAGAAGAAGAAGAAGTAATGAAGTACAGATGTCATAATCAAGATTTGTAACTCCCAAACTACTGTTCTTCACAGAGATAGAGTTGTGTCGGACAGCCTCAGTGTGCCACTCCAACATGGGCTTAATTTGGAAAACGTGAAAACATCATGTTACCTAAAACTGACAAAGATGTACCATTTGTTTCTCGAGATTAGTCTTATTCAGAAATTCATTGACTTTGTGTACATGGCATTGCAACAACCAATGCGGATCCAAATTAAATGCTAAATATAGCCTCACAGTCAGTCCACATGCTCGGTATCCAGATGGCAACAGAGGAAAATAACTCGTTCAATAGGAAGAAACCTACAGGAAGACATGACTCATTAGTGGCAGCTAAAAAGACGAGCTCCGTAGGAGTAGCATGAGTTCAAAAACACAGTAATAAAAACTGGCTGCAGTGGTGCCTTCAAATGGTTTGTTCAGGAAAGAAAACAGGTTCAACACAGAAGAGCAAGATAAATTATATCAAGTAGAGGAAAAAAAACCTGGTCAAACTGGCTGCAGTGGCTCTATTAGCTTGGACATGTCGGTGTTTTATTCAGGCATTAGAGGAACAAGACCCTGGTGCCTGGGAGCGGCTACGAATGGGGAGATTGCGGTCGGCAATTTTTACGGAAGAGCTATGGATTCAACACATTTGAATGACACAACTGCACATAATCATGCTGTCACTGCTGTGAGAGCTCCAGTGGAGCCAGCTGCAGATTGCCTGAAAAAAACAAAAACTACAAACCACTAAGAAGACAATAGGAAGTAATTTTCTATGTCATTGGTAACATCCATCGATTGATCACGTGACTCGCGTGATACAGAAAAAGTGCATACGAAAGAGATGTAGTTCTTATTATACGTTTTAATTTCTGAAGCAATAGATGTATTTCATCTATCTCAGCTGTTTTGAAAGTGGCTCAATTCCATAAAGCAAACTTATTTTTGTAACTTCAAATTGCGTGAGTCTGTGGTGAAAGGAAACGCAGCTGGTGTCTGATTCTGTTGGAAGTCGGTTCACCATGTCCCACGACAAAACAAAACCTTTCATTCAGAAATCCTGTTGTCATCTCACAGTAAGAACACTTCTACATGAGTGTATGGGAGACTTTGGGGCTTCAGTAAGTGGCACAAGCCCGGCAGCATCCGGCACGGTTACGCCAGATAGCAAACTTCTTTGAAGCGGTGAGGAAGTAGACTGCGCCCCAGCCTGTACCTCATCTTATCAGGCAGGTTTCCTCTCTCCCTCTGCTGAGGTGGGGCGGCCTGTCAAGAGTGCAGTTTATGTGGTAAATACCATGTCGGCATAGCTGAGCCTCAGGATGTATGGAAGGGTGTCGGTGAGGGTAAACCTGCCTTCCCCCATCTGTTTCAGTGATTGGATCTCCCCACGCTCCTGGTTAATGGTTGATGTAGTGGCGAAAGAGTTAATTTTCCACCAGCAATCAGGCCGTCTATCAGTGTGACATAAGGGGAAAATGAACTGGAGGGTTTTTTGGGGGGGGGTATACAGAAGGCATGAGGAATGGGGCTGGGAAATGATCAGCCAGAGAACAACATGGTACATAAACAGTGGTGATTTCCTTTGCAGTCCAAGATCAACACCGTAGTCCTGGCCAGACACTGAGATTAGCTTGAAAAAGAACAACGTGGGGCCATTGAGAAGGAAGGAGGCAGAGGGAAAGACTACAAAAAATGTCACATTTAGTACCACTTTCTTGACCAAATGTTGTCCTTATGATTAGCTCTGGTCCGCTTTTCAGCAACGGCTTAATAAGAGTCAAAGAGAAACAAGTCATCAGGGAAGCCGGTGCCTGACAGACACCCCCGCTCTCTCGGTCGCAAATTTATTGAAGATTCGTTCCAAGTCTCAAACACTTGCCCAGATTAAAATCAAAGCTTCATTATGTACCAAGTTCAAACTTCACCCATTGAAAAGAGTCTAATCACTCACTGAGCCGTGTCGCGAGCGGTGCTTTAGGAGGGCGCTGGAAAACGCACGCTCAAGGTCACTTCTCTTTCCTTCCTTAAGCGTCCGGCCATAACTCTGGCTGTTTGTTTGGAAGAAGTGCTTGGAACTGCAGACAAAACTATTGCTTTTCTGGTGCAGATGTGTTTACGAAAGCCTTTTGCTTTAACCTTTTTCCCCATGATGGCATGGAGTCCACCAGGAGAAACAATGAACAGTGAGCCAATAAAACAACACAAGGTGAGACAGAGATTAAGTTTGGGGGCAGGGAGCAAGAATTCAATTGACCCTTCAATATATTTGTCTCCAGAACCTCCCTGTCAACACAAACTGTGTGTGTGTGTGTGTGTGTGTGTGTGTGTGTGTGTGTGTGTGTGTGTGTGTGTGTGTGTGTGTGTGTGTGTGTGTGTGTGTGTGTGGACAATACCACAGAAAGGCATGACTACTATCAGTAAAAGCCCCCTCAATATCCCCACCACTCATTGTAGCACAAAGCATTGTGGGTGTCGTAAAGAGAAGCTGGGGAGTTAGCCCCTCCCTTGCAAGGAAGTAGTAGATAAAAGAGATCTGCCAGATGATAATCTGCCCAGTGGGAGCAACTGGAGTATTCTGTCTTTCTGGCCAGTCCATTTTTGTTTTCCTTTGTATACAGCCAGGGACACTAAAGCTGTCAGTGGAGAGGTTTGCCCTTGGCTTTACCTCAGTCATGATAATTCAGTAAGAAGAGAGAAACCGCACAGTTGAGCTGGATCAATGTCTTTATAAAAAATGCAAGACAAGTGATGTGGCACAAGGCAAAAAGGACAAACAACCACAAATATAAGCAGGTATTCTTATTTGGTTAGGGGTACTTGCTTCGAGGAGCTGCGCACACACACAAAAAAAAGATGGTTATCACTGTTAAGTCCCCACAAGAATGGCACGGGTTCAAGTCCTGCCGAGGGACGTTTTATGAGACTCACTCCACATGCTTGTGAGGATTCTCTCCAGGTACTTCAGTTTTATCTGACAGACTCAGAACACGCGTGTATGCATAAATGTTTGGTTGCCTCACACGTCACTCCGAGGGAGTCGCAACCCGAGCAGAGCAGGTAGAGGCAGAAGGACGAAATTGAAAAGTCTCAGATTCCAGCTTATTGCATATTTAAGGTAATGTATGGGAGTTCTGTGTGATTTGGGCTTTTAATGGTGTTTTCACACTTGATACTCCAGTAGACTTGGCTTGATTGGAGACCAAAATTGCAGCGTTTGCTACATTTTCAGCTGGTGCGGTTCGCTTTCACACTGCATTGGGCCAAACGACCCAAACCCTTTGAGAAACCTGTTCACCTTCTCGCCTGTAGAGGTGCCGTCTACTGAAGATAAAATAAAAACCTCTGAAGAAGAGTGCAACTTCCTCCTTCACAAAATGTGAACAAAAATGGAGTATAGCTTCAGATTTTAGCAGTTGTAGGATTTCTCTTGGGTAGAAAGACCATGAGCTATTTCTCCCTCAAGCAGTACACCAGCATTTGTTTTAGATACAGTCACCCAGAATGCTTTGTGCTTCCTGTACTTTTCCACTTGCATCTACTTAATTCAAACAATGCCAGAGTTTGCTTCAACCGAAACAAGACCTAGGTTGTTTTTTTGGTTTTTTTAGGGTTTTCCCGTCTTTGCATTCGCTCCTCCCCAAACCAGACTTTCTCGGCAAACGAACTAGAGTTTGATTAAAGCGGACTAAACGGGGCTAGTGCAAATGCACGCTTTGTAAGTAAACGTCCCCAAACCTCCGATCTATTCTGGGCAGCTGTAACTGTCAGGGTGCAGGCAAGTGAGTGAGATTTAACACCATTGGAAATTCGACAGCTCTGAAGAGTACTCCAACTCTTCAGCAACGATTTTTAACAAAATTGGCTTCCATCTATTGTTTTTTTTCCTCCCACCACAAAATGTCTGACATTATCCCAAATGCAGCAAAGGTAAGTGCAGAACTACATCCAGAGAATAGCATCTTTCAGCAAAATCCCTCCATTTTCTTGAAGTAAATACAAGAGGGAAGCTGTGAAATTAATGGCACCCACTGTTCTCGAAGGCCACACTTTAGCTGCTGTGCTAAATGTCAACTCTTTTTTGAGTCAAAATGCTGCTCGCCATGGCTTTCAGCTTGGGAAGAAAGAAAATCAATATGGCTCTCCAGCCCCTCACTCACTCTGCTGGTGGACAGTCTCAAGTGGGCCTGATGGTCTTCAATTAGGAGCCGGGAAAGATGCTTGAGTGACGCTGGAAAAAGCAGTTTGCCACATTCATTTAAGCTACAGTGACAGCAGCACAGCAGCTCTATCCAGCGATAACTCCCTGCAATTTTGGTTTCTATTGGCCCCATCTGCACTCATAGCGCCAGCTGCCAGACTGGCATGAAAATGATGTTATCCTGGGTACATTTCTGCCGCTAATGGCCCCAAATAATTGCCCTGAATGACAGTACTTCTCCGGGGTTTTATTTTTTTTGTTTTTCTCCTGATGTTATGTGTATTTGCTTTGAGCAAAGCTTGGTCCCGGATTGGAGCCTGCAAACCCTAACCTCGCTTCCCCTCTTGCTTGTAAAAATCATCTTGCAGCTGTTGGGAGAAAGTTTTTTTTTTTTTTTTTTTTTTTTTTTTTTACATGTCATTCATTTTCAAATCATCATTTTGTGCTCATGAGGGGCAGCTACTATGGGAAGCATGTTAACGTTCCTTGTCAGCCGAAAGGCGGCTCTCTGGGGGGTTGTGCATAAATATTTTGACTTTCCTCCGTGTAAAACTGCGTGAGTGTGTGCGTCGATGTATGCACAGCCATTGCTCTCCCTTCCGTCATTCAGGCTTGTGCGCCTCTCATGGCTTTTGCCGACATGTCTGGATGAGGGCTCGCGCGCGTGTGAGGCAAGGAGGGACTACCGCTTGGCTCAAACTGTTTATTCGTCGTTCTCTGACTCTGGTGATTGAGGCCGTTGACGAATGTTTACGGGGTTGGTCCAGATGTTCCAGGAATCACTGATTTAGCGTACACAGCGGGATGTGGAGTGATGCTTGTCCAAGAAAGCGGTGGAGAAAAACAAAGAGTAACTCAGGGGCAAAGTTAGGAGATCCAGATGTGGCACCTGGTGAATAGAGGCCATGAAGGTGGTCCCTCAACTTAGGGTCATAAGCTGTTCTAGTCTCAACAGAGCGGATGGGAAGCAGAAGATGTTTCACCATGCTGACGTGTTTGAGTTTCCCTTTTTCTCCCAACCTATCGTTTACCGTCTCGTTTCTTGCTTCTGTAGGTCCCGAGTGCTCCAAGAACTTCACCTCCAACAGCGGCGTCATAAAGTCTCCGGGGTTCCCAGAGAAGTACCCCAACAACCTCGACTGCACCTTCATGATCTTCGCCCCAAAGATGTCGGAAATCATCTTGGAGTTTGAGAGCTTCGAGCTGGAACCCGACACAACGCCCCCCGCTGGTGTCTTTTGCCGCTACGACCGGCTGGAAATCTGGGACGGTTTTCCAGGAGGTGAGAAAAAAAGCAGAACGTTGAAATGTATATTTGAGTTAACAATATAATATATAGTATTAAATCACCACATACTCATGGTTGCCACTAATGCCTGCTGACGTATATTCTACTCATTGCTTAGGAAACATTTTAGAGGCCGAAGGTATATGAAACTTTAGCCTGATTTCACACATTTGCTAAATAAATTCACTTCAAGTATCTGAGCTATTTTCAATTAAAAATCTTTTATTTTGCCGTTGGGAAGAAAGTCGCTTGTGGCTCCACCCTATTCTGCTGATGAGGTGAGCTAACAAAGACTTCTCGTCCGCATTAGACGAGAAGTCTAAGTGAGGATGCTTCCTCCACTTCTAAATAGTTTGTGGTAGCTTTTCTGTTTGAAAATAGAGAGGATGAGTCAACAACTGGTAAGCAATTTGAAAAGTTTCAGATCCATTAAACTTTCAAATGGTTTGTGAAAACGGATTGCAGAGACATTTTCCATGGTTTTTCAGAACTGCCTTAGGACTGGAGAAGCAATAAAACACCAACTCAGGAGCATCAAAGCTTGTGGTTTGTGAGCCATTTGTTGAAGCAGACATGGAGATATTACCTTTCATCTACCATCTATTCACTACTTGTGCCTCCCTTACGTTTTGCATGCCAGTGGTCTTAGTACAAGCTGTTTGCTGGCACTGGTTTCTAAAGCAGTTTTATTACTAAAACGAGATTTTTATTTGACCAAACATTGTGAATACCAAGGAAAAGGGATTTTCTCTTCTGCAGGACAATACAGCAGGGTAGAGTACTGGTTTCAGTTTCACTTATTACAGTTTTTCTCGAGAAAATGACCGTCTCCGCGAAGTGAGACAGCTTCACCCTGACGAGGTGGTCTGCAGACGTCTCTCTGTGGTCATCAGCTAAACTTTAGTCGTCGCTCAATGCCAAACGCTCCTTCTTCCTAAAAGAGCATCCCACACTTTTGTTTTTCATGTCACAGGCTGGCTGTGTGCGATAATGTTTCCGAGCCAATACATTTGGGAGCTCAAGGTCTAATCTAGGATGTAGGGTTAGAGGCTTTGTTTTCGTTTGACAATTCCGTTTCACAGGAAATGACTCAAAAAGGAATTTCCTCGGGTAACCTTTTTGCGATTCCCACCAATGAAGGAGAAAAACACACACACACACACAAAAAAAGAAAACCCCAGCTAAATTCATTCATTCAGTTAAACCGTTTCGGACCCGACTCGAACCGAACCGTGCTGGCGTACGCTCACGCAAACGCGCACAATCAAACATCGCCCTGAAACAGTTTTCAAAAATCTATTCATCTTATAAGTCAGCGGGATGGGGCTGAGATGAGGGCGAGGAGGGTTCAAAGCGCTGCTTCCCCAGCCTGAGATTAGTCTTTTAACTCGGCGAGCAAAATCACATCTTGAAGTTTTTCTTTCTGCCGGCGATCCCAAACTCCTGGTGCAGGCGAGATGAAAGCATGTCTCACCCGTCCGCGGCTGAAAACCAAAGGAATTTATTTATTTTTTCTATCTAGCTATGCGTATCCCGGCGTGCATCAGTATTCGCTGCTCCGTGCGTTCTCTGGGTGATAAGGTTGAAGTGTTAATCACAGGCGCCTGTTCCTGGGGTGAGGGGGTGGGGGGTTTAGTTAAAGTTCACATCTCTGAAGATGTTAACTTTGCAGAGGTGACCTTTTGATTCCTCGGAACGGGGCTCGTTCGCTGGCGCTCCCCCTCCAGCTTTCGCGCGTCTCATTTCCAAGGTTCGCGCCTGATTCAGAAGATTGTCAGACGGTCGAGGAGAGGAGAGAAAAAAGAGAAAATGTCTGGTTATTATCACCTTCTGAGACACAGTTTTTACAGAAGACAGCAGGAAACATCTTCTCCGGTTCTCTCTACTTGTTAAAATGAACAGAGGACAGTGGTGGGATAAAACAAACGAAGGTCTCCTTTGGTCCAACAGTGGCAGAAACTTGTCACGAACTTCATCTCCTCCTTTTTTCCTTTTTCTCATCTTCTCCTGACACCCTTTGAAGGTTGCTGTGCGTGACAGATAGCGGTGTATAAAAATAAGCCACGGGAGGAAAATAGAGTGTTGCCTTTTGCCAGGCGGCTCCTGTTGTGCCTGCCAGATCAATAGCGCATTAGCACAGGAGGCTTGCTTGCTGCTGGAGTGTGCCGAGATTGGAGATGTCCGGGCAAGCAGCCGGGGATTCACACCTCCTTATCCCCCCACACACACACACACACCCTTCACCTCAAACTACACCTCACCGGACAGGAGCTGGCGAAGAAAAGAAGAACCTCTGGCTTTCTTCCTCCTCCCTGCAGAAGGCAAAGCGCAGAGTTTATGTCGAGGTTCTTTAAAATTTCATGCCGCAGTGGAGTCATGCAGATAATCCAGCAGATAGGCTTTTTTTTTTCATTTCTTCTTTCCTCTAGCCCAGGTCTTACTGGGCCTTAATGCACACTGTATTCTCTCAAACATATACCGGACACCTGGTTTACGAAGATTAACCTGAGCCGTCACACCACTGCCCCATGAGCGCCTCCCTCCCACGCCTCGCTCCCCCGCGGCCCGGCCTTTGCCTTTTATGTGGGAGTTGTGCTGGAAGTGGCAAGTTTCGGATGACAGGAGGCCTTGGGGAGGCAGGACTGTCACTCGCCGCTGATCACAGCATTACTAATCGCAGATAAGCTGCAGGTCCCCACGCATTGACAGGAAGACACATTCATAAACGGGCACGGATCACGGCACGCATCAAAGGACCGGAGCAAGGTCACCATGTTCCCTCCCTCGTTCCGATCGCTCTCCACCCCCCAGGTCCCTCTCTCGTTATCTCTGTGTCCCGCTAAAAGTTTCTCCCCGATCCTCCCCCATTCTTCTCAAGCCTCCCAGCGAAATGCGTACTTCTTTCTCTTTTATTATAGCCCTCTATCTTTTTAATACTCTCGCGTTGTCCACCGCTCTGCCTCCGCTCTGCCTCCGCCTGTTTGACTTCCCTTGCCAAACCAGCCGGGCCGTGGCCTGTCAAACAAAATGAGTCCGGGGCTCCTGGTATTTACAGCCGAGCAAATAGACGAAGACGGTGACCTGGCCCCACACCACAGGTCACCCTTCTTTCTCTTTGTGTCCGGCAGGCAAGCGGGTCTGGAATGCCAGGAAGTTTTTCTCATTCCTCTTTATGGGGTCAGTGCCATACCTCACTGACACACTAGTTTTCACACCTCTGTAGGGGGGAAGCTACTAGTTAAACCCATGTGACAGGGTCAAAAGCTGCGCAATTTGACTTTTACTAAATAAATGTGCTTAAAGGAAACACAGCAATTTCGTAAAAAAAAAAAAAAATCTCGTCTTTTGATGGAAAGTTTAGTTGGTAGGCTGAGATTCGCCTTTTTGACCGAATTGAAATTGGTTCATTTGGCAAAACTGCAATGGAAACACATCTTTCACATCACACAAGTCACATGACCAACAGCTGGATGTTACCACTGGGGGGAAAAGGCGACAGGCCGTGGCAGGAGGATAACGGCGCGGCGTGAGCTTTAAAGACAGACTTACTTTCTGCATTTTTACTGAACATAAAATCACTCAATTTGGCATTTTGAAAGTAAGTTTGCTTCATGGAAACACTCCAAATAAGAAAAAAAACATGTTTTTGCTCTAAGATTGGATGTCTTTTGTTTTTTTGTTTGTTTTGTGGCCGTAAAGAAATTGGTTCATTTGGCACGAATCATGTGACCGACGACCAGATGTCGCCAATGGCACGCAGACCACAGAGTAGACGACAACAGGAAGTGTTTGGAGGCTCGTTGCGCAGCATGTTTTGTTTTTTGTTGCTTTTTTTTAAAGACTTATCATGTGACAAGCTAAAATATGTGTGATTTTCATTTTTATTTCGTATTTAATGGAAACACTGCATTTGCACAAAAAACAAAACACAAATCAACATTTTCCGACAAAGTTTTGTGCACGATTGTAATGTCTGTGGCTTCCTCTCGTTTCCTTCTGCAGTCGGGCCGTACGTCGGGAGGTACTGTGGTCAGAACACCCCCGGCAGGATCATCTCCTACACAGGCATTTTGGCTCTGACAATCAACACCGACAGCGCCATCGCCAAGGAAGGCTTCTCTGCCAACTTCACCGTCCTCGACCGGACCGTCCCAGAGGGTGAGCTGGCTCAACGAGGAAGAACCGCGAAAGCTCTAGAAACCGTGGAAAAACAAACAGAAAAACACATCTTTTGTCTCATTAATCGCAGCTATGCTTTTATTGCATTCTGTTCAGATTCATTAACGCAGAGCGAGCGCCACACTTCTTCCCACTAAGCTTCTTAAGCTCATTAAACAAGGAAAAACAAAAACACGTGTTTCACTTCTACTATTGAAATTTTAACAGCTTCAATATTCAACGTCTTCTCAATGTATTTAATAATGAGAATATGGACTAATAAGACAACCTTCGAAACTGTCATTTTCTGATTTTCTCTTCATTAAGTGGAGCCTGAATGTGTATACTATACATGGCATACTGCCTATTCCACTGTTATTTGACGCAGTTGACATAGTTGTGGTCAATAGTCCTTATTCAACTCTATCATTTAGTGCTGATTATTTGTTACTTGTATTTTTTTTATGTTTGTTATGGTTTCTTGCTTCGTTTGAATTATTTTCAATGACATTCTTTAAGAAGGAAGATCTTAAACCAGACCTGTCTGACTTCCTTCGTAAAAATCCAAAAGGAAGTTTCACTTCCTGGTAAAGAAAAACGGTGAAACCTAAAACACAACTTTTGGTCGGCCACAATAATTAACTCAGCCATATTCATTCAATGACGTTGAGCACGTTTTTTTTTTTCTTTTCTTTTTTTCAGTTATTTCAGTCATCTTTTGCTTTTATCCCTAAATATTCCCCTTAAATACTCCTGTGGTTCTAAGACGCACTCCCATAAATCCAAAGTGAAATGGTTCTCCATATGTTCTACTTTGAACATATGTCTGCATCCTGCATTGGTTGCAGACAGGATGCCCAGTAGGTTCTACCACATGTCCTCTGGGACGTTTCCCTCACATGGCTCAACACAATGAAAAGCTTGTAGTTATAGCAGATGATTCTCCCTAAAGGTGCGGGCATGAGTCAGGAAACATCGCAATCATTGCCGCTTCTCATTTAATGGCGCTTCTCATTTAATGGCGCAATATTGTCTAAACTGTCGCTTAGCTCTGCCTTTTGGAGATAAGTGTTAAGCATAGAGAAAGTACTATTGCCTTTAAAGGTCTTGTGTTTTTTCAAAGCACCTGCACAGTCTCCCCTAAACTGAACTACTTTTTGGATTCCTGTGGCTCAATCGGCTAATAACCATTTTCGAGGTACGGAAAACATACATAATACATTCAGAGAGGTTAAGGAAACTTGAGGAGCTTAAGCTCTGGCAAGGATGAAATGTAAAAGAGTTGCAGGGAAGCAGATAAAAGCACCAGAGGAGCAACAATCAAGGCAGAAAGCAAATGTTGTCCAATTATGACAAATTGCCGGTCGCTGAGCAGAGTTCGAGAGTTATTAAACGGACACCTCCAGCTTCCCCGTTGCGGCGATGGCTCACGCGGAACACGTTTGCCTGGACGGTCTCTTGTCAGCGGCTTGAGCACACACTCTTTTCACACACACCCCCAGGGCTTTTTACATGCCACATCGCTGTCACGGGGCTCGACCCCCGCTGACCCCATTTTGCAAAACGCTCCATCTAAACATTTCATTAAGGAAGACGAGCTCTGGTAAGGCTCATAAATCTGTCCGGCGGCCAGACCACCCCGCACACAGGGACCCACACACACACACACACACAGTCCATCTCTGAATAGCAACAGAGGTGGATGACTTTCAACAAGTCAACTAATCATGTCCAAAAGGGATTTTGTCTTGCCCAAAGGGGGGAAAGGGAGATGATGATGAAGCACAGACAAAACAAGAAGAGCAAGGTCTTCCTCCAAGCAGCGAGCAGAGCTGCCACTGCTGGTGGTTTTCCTAAAAGTCAGATTGTGCAATGCAACTTTTTACGTTCGCCATTAGACGGGAACGGTTGACTATCTGACCTGCCATCGGTAAATACCTCGACTGAAGAGAGTTGCTCGGCTTTTGCATCATCGTCTCAGACGCTCTGGAGATAGAACGTCCCCAAACATCGCCCTTGCTTTTCCAAGCTTGTACCAACTGAATCTTTCATAATCCCCTAATGCATAATGCACAGTAGATTCTTTTTTTCGTTTTCATGCTGTTACGTGGCGAGGCGAAGGGTAGCTGAAAACCACTGATGAGATGCGATAAGGTGATGAAAAGAAGCCTTATCTTATCCTTTGTATTTTTGTTCCTTCTCTCGTATTTTCCCAGCCATTAAGCCCCTGACCGTGCTCGGTAAGCCACATGATCAGATATAAGCTCAGGCAAAACAAAACGCCTCTTTGTGTTTTCGATGATCTCGGCTAACAACGTTGGCTTAAAGGATTTTTGTTGTTGCTGTTGTTGTTGTGTGTTTTTTTTTTTCCACAGAGAGAAAGTGGGAGCGGTGCGAGACAGTTTATTAGCACTCTGACATACTTGCAGGCATGAACTCGCGCACATGCAGCTGCGCATTAAGACCGCGAGCCGCATGCACACAGTGACCCCGTTGAGTCAGGGTGCGCTGGAGGTGCAGCAGATCGGGGAGACCAGCTGTGTGTAGCTCTCAGGCTGCCACCGCGCGGCTCTCCGGTGCCGCTCTTTATCCAAAGGCCTCAAAATGAGCAACAGAATTTATATTTAGGGGATTTTTCTCAAAAAGAGTTCAAATTATTGTTCAAAGCATCCCTTCTCACACCGACTCTACATACTCCCCGTTTGGACCAAGAGAGTATTGTGGTTAGCAAAAAAAAAAAAAAAAAAAAAAAGATAAACTCCCCTCAGGGAGATATAACACATTCAGGCAGTGGAGGGAAAGGGGTTGTGGGGGGAGGAACCAAAGCGAAAGTCACCGTTAGCACCTAATGCGAGCATATACTACGCTGAATGTTTCATGAAGACATTTTTACGCCTCGGACACTTTCCCTCCAGCTTCCATTAAAAAAGCGCTGGAAGAGGAATAGAAGGGGTTTGCCATGGATGTGCTGTTGTCTTCCGGCCAGTCATGTGGAGGCCTCCTCCTCCGCCCTGGAGATTTTCTCAGATTCAGGGAGGAGGACAGAGGGACGGGGAGGGGGAGGTGACACAGAAGACACATTCTTTGACTACATATTGACTGCTTAGAATTCGGCTGAAAGTCTTTCACTGTCTCCTCTATTTTTTTTTTGTTTTTGTTTTTTTCCTGATTCCCTTTTCATCTCCTCTCTCCCCTCCCTCTGCCTTTCAGACTTTGACTGCAGCGATCCGCTGGGAATGGAGTCGGGGGAGATAGCATCAGACCAAATCATGGCTTCATCCCAGTACAACCCCAGCTGGTCCCCGGAGCGCTCCAGACTCAACTACTACGAAAATGCATGGACGCCCGCAGAGGACTCAAACAAGGAGTGGATTCAGGTAGCGCGTCTCCTGTTTGTCTCCTGCATCAAAAGTACTTGCTTTCAGTAAAGCAAAGTTCGCGGCCATGGGAGGATAAATGAGATTAAAAAATGATGGGAGGGCCTCATGATGAGGCCCTCCCAGAGTTCAGAAACATGCATGTTACGGTCACTTTCCAATCAAAAGTGTAGATTCAGTAGAACCCGTCTCTTAAAACAGTTAAATATAGGACTGGTTTAAATAGATGTTCTTTGTTTATACTGTCTTGTTAGTCACACAATTTAAACTGAATTCCGAGTCTGAAAAATTCACATTTCCTGTGATGGACTGACTACCTGTGGAGGCAGAGCCCCACGCTTCAGGATGGATGGATCAAACTGGGTTTTGTCACAGACAGCTGCCCCAAACCAAGAAACAATTGTTTCTGGTTTGTACCTGAAATCTCCCTGGCGCTCCAAATGTTCACATTCTTCACTTTCCCTAACAGAAAGCCATTCGTCCATCATAGTCAGTCTCTTACATCAATGTCTCCACTATCTACCTGTCTTCCTGCGGCTGCCACTGTCTTCCAGTCCTACCTGATAATTTCCCCCCTATCCTTTGGAACTGAAACTGCCTCTGGAGATGCTCAGATTTAATCCAGGCAACCTGCCAAGCTTCACACACACACTCGCGCACACTGGCTCAGGCGCCGTCATATTTTTTTTGTTTCTTGGCTTATCTTCACAGAGTGATCATCACCCACCAAGGGAACTTTATGTGGGAAGATTAAGGATTTAGTTCTGTCATCCCCATGGTGGGGATAAGACACGTATACCGAGTCCACTCACATCACAAAGAACTCCCCACAGACCCCTCCCCACCACAGCCCTACCTCCATGCATTTGAACTGCCTCTGATTTATGAACCCTAGACTCCAACCTCTTATAAATACACAGGCGGTTTTTCTTTTCCGTCTTTTTTCGGCAGCTTATGCTTCATTTCTTAAAAGTTTGGCCCCGGGGGATATCTCAAGGGATAGATAATAGAGTTGACCCAAAGCCAAATATTTTCTCAGGGAGGGACATAAGCAAGCTTTTTGCGTTATTATTGCAATAAAAATATTGTCCTAAGGGCCTCTGTTGTTCCTTCAAGCTAATTTAATCGGTGTGTAACCGCATACATACGTACACAGTTCTACGTGTGTCCTCTTGTGCGTGTGTGTGTGTGTATGTGTGTGTGTGTGCGCGTTTGGCGACCTGTGCGAGTAGGAGGGTTTGGCAAGGCCCAGCGTGTCCCGCAGAGGAACTCACTGTGCGTCTGAGTGGATCAGGAAGAAGCAAGGCCACCGTTAAAACCTCTGTTAAAAACGTATTAGTCATTCTCATAGGAAAGTCCTTTGCTAAAAGCCAAATGTGGAGAGACTTTCAAGCTGCCCTGTCATAAGCTGCGTTTCCATTGACCATATAATGGCACGATTTGACATTTTCAAAATGAATTTCCTTAATGGAAGCAAAATAACTCTCCCTTTTCAATAAAATGTTTTATAGCTAGGAGGAGATTATTATTTTCATCCGTTTTGAAATTGGTTTATGTGGCGAAACGTCTTCACTCATGGTCAACAACCAGACGTTGACGCCTCAAACAAAAAACCCTCAAAGAAGAAAGCAGGAAGTAGTTGAAAGTTAACGGCGCTGCATGTTTTGTTCATGATATGAATTGTGATTTTTCAATATCAGCGGAATATCGACAAAGTTTTCATTTTGCAATGGTAACGCAGGGTATTTTAAATGAACATAATTGGCTCTTTTTCTTGGCCTTGTTGCTGTGTCGATTTGACTTGGCCCTAAAATCTAATTTTTTTCCAAGACTCTGTGCTGTGATGGTTGAGCTAAAATTCCCAGCACTAATCTGATCAAAACCTTGAATCCCTCCCAAACTCCACAAGCTCACCCCGCCCACCACCTTTGAATTTCTAATCTCGAAGGCTGCGGCAGGGTTTACGGTCGGCTAATGATTTCTGCTCTCTGTAGGAATGAGTTGCACTTGCGCCGAGTCGTCCGAGCTCCAGTCATCACAGGTGGCATTAGAAGAGTAGAAATTCTCATTTCTCTTTCATTAGACATGTCAGCGGCGTTGCAACAAGCCGGTGGCGCCCTCCCGGCATGTACAAATCATCTCGGTGCGCAGTCAGATGCATAGCAATCAATTCATTTTATATTTCATGATCATTCTCTGACTCCCGTCTCGGCCAGGCGGTTTTATTATTCATGATGGGCAGCCTTTTGAGTCCAAGGCCTTTTCCTTCTCTCTGTCCATCCATTTTAATGCTGCCTCATTCTGATGCACAGAGAGGAGGAGGACAAGATGCTGTAGTCATGGGCGGTCTTCATTGGCTAATTAGATTGGTGTAGTGTGGTTGAGTATCGAGTGCTGGGTTAGCCAGGTCATTAATCAGCCCCCGTCGGCGAACACAGAGATGGACAGATGTCCTTTTTAAAGGAGAATCAGGACTTGAGGAGAGAAAAAAACAAAGAACGCAAACAGCTTTTTCTTTTCCTTGACAATCCGTCTTGTGGCACCATTCAGTGCCGCTCTTGCTACCATGTCTCCGACGGACTCTGGATATCCCTCTTCTATATTTCATCATCCGCTCTCGTCCTTTTGCTTTTGTCATTCTTCTAAGCCTGAATTTTCCAGCTTCATTGTGCACATTAGCTGCCTTTGTCTGACTCTCAATAGTTTAAGCAGTAGGAAGCTCTCCGCCGGAGGTTTCGGTGGAAAAATACACAAAAATGACACCTTCAGACGAGTCGATGAGCTGTCTCCTCGTCTACGGACTCTCTTGACTGGCATGGAAACACCTGCATCTGTGCAACACATTTGTCTCCGTAAGGGAAAGAAAGAACGACATGTTTACAGACTGACGTAAGGGTTCCTCTGGAACGCTTTTGGAGGAATCGCTGACATTGTGCAGAATGAGTTGGTCGAATGGGTCTGTTGGGGAGGAAGGGGGGATGCGATGGGTACCGAGAGCCGCAAGAGCAATGAGAACGAGCCGATAAAAGACAAACTGCAAGGCTGAGCCTCCGTCAGGCAGATGCCATTGATCGCACATGCTCACTGCATCAATAATTTAGACTGTTTTGGAGAGAGCCCAAGTGTCAATACCTGAAAGCCTGTATATCTTATCCCATAATGGTGATTTTGCTTCACTGGCTTCTTCTGTCTGCAACTGTATTTATATATGTACAAGTGGTCTGTCTGTCAGTGATTACAAGAAAGGTTTAATCATACGAAGACAGCCCAGCTCATGGCTTGCGTGAGGCTCTTTTATCTTTACTTCCTGACAGATAAAAGCAAGAAAAGCAAAGAAATGTATCGTTGTTTGCTGTCACAAAATGTTCCCTTATCTTATCCATTTGTGATGACCCCCCAAGGTAAAGTCAATCACTCATGGAGACACGTCAGTCTTAAACCTTGGACCTCTGGGAGGTGGGAGGAGTACACCAGCTTGTCTTGACTGTGTTTCCTCAAATCTATAAAGCAAACATCTCTGGCTGACCGGCTAAGCAACCTTTAATTGCACACTTCCTGAACAGAAACGCCACTCCAGTCCTCACGCCGAGGCCAACATCCGACGCTAGCCCAGCGCGTCCTGTTTTCTTTTCATCTTAATGCGGTTTCCATTACTTCGAATTGGGGATCGGCAGAAAAGCACTCCATCCCAGTGCATTGTCTCCCTCTTTAAATCGGCACCTCGTTCTGTTGTCTTACCAACCTGCCGAGTGACGAGTTCTCCGACTGCGCCGATTACGGAGCGGTAATTAACAGCGACTTTTCACTTGATGAAGTCTAGCAAAAGAGCATGAGGCTGGCATGCAGCTGCCGGTGAGATCATCATCATACCATTCGAGTGGAAACAATGGCTGCTGTCTTTGCTGCGCCGCTTCTGGGCCCCTTGCTCTCAATGGGAAAATCAATGGGAGGACAGAGACCCGCACTCGGCCGGTAATCGAAACATGAGCGGTCGCATGACGTAATGAAATGAGTGCCGCATAAGTACCTAGAGATAAAAAAAATAAAAAAATAAACTCAGCTCAGGCACAATCAGTGCCTTTTTCAGTGTCCGCCTTACAGAGGAGGATGGTATGTGGGGGAGACTGAAGCCCTTTTAGTCGGTAGTCATCACCAAACGATCATGTGCAGCTGGGCATCCTGGGAAAGGATCCAGACATGACATACCTTCAGGTCGCTGTGTTTTCCGTCCCCATCAATTCATAATCCTGACTCAAAGCATTAGTCACACGTGTGTGTGGTATGTGTGTGTGTGGAGGGGTGGGAGGAGGGAGACCCAGGAATGACCCTTAAATTTTATCTTCAAAGATGATTCACAAGTCAAGAAACCTCAAAGTCAGACTCCTTCCTTCCCCTGCCTTTGACTGAGACTAACTGAAATCTTTAAACGGGCAGTTTTATGCGTTTTCCAGGAACATAATGTTATTTTATTGTACAATCAAGCGACCTTGAGTACCTTAAGTTGCTATAAAAATGCTGTATATAGAAAATGATGTATATATAAAGCATTTTTAAATATTCTTAAGCATTTTTTAAGTAATATTTGATGTATATATCAAATGTATAAATGAAATCAGGCCTCTATCTTTTTAAAAACTCCTGCTCTTTCTAAAACTCCGCCAACAGGAAGTCATCAAAACATTGCTCCCCTATTAACACCTTAAAGTTTTTAACAGCATCGCAATGTGAAGGAACTTGTATAATTAGCTTAGCAGATGTGGAGTTCCACCCGGTGTTTGCTAACTGCTGCTGGCTAGTCTGAAGGAGCTGAGGCAGGGCTTGGAAACTGCAGCCGGGGAGGAGCTTCGTCCTTGAAGGCGGAGCTTGGTCCCACCCATTGTTTTGCACAGATGAGTGGTTGCCATAAGAGATCAAAGGATTTCTCAAACACGCTTGAAAGAATCAAAGCAACACACCAGGTCTGCTTTTAGTCAGGGAAAAACATTACAATGTGATGCAAA